ACTAAAGTTACCAATGACCTTTCCCTTGTCTTCTCCATATTCCTTGTTTTTTCCACTACTTTCAACATAACCAGGCAATCTTTATTGATTCTCTTCTTCATTGGCTTTTACAACACTGTTCTTGAATAGTTTTCCTTTTTACCTCTTGCATTTCTCTTTCAGTGTCGTCCTCAGTGGCTCCACCTCCTCCCACTTTCTGTCAGCTTCCCACAGGGCCTATTCCTAACCCCCTGCCTTCATTCCTTCACATTATCCCTGGGTTTTCTTATTTGCCTTCATGACTCTAATTCCCATCAATTTACCCTTTGCATTTAGACTTTTGCCAAAGCTTGGCACTTTTTTCCTTTACATCCACGCTGTCAAAAGCTTGTCCATGCTTTGATAATCCTCCCCATCCCTTCCATCCTTGGTTCTTTTGATCCCTCCTGTAATCTTCTCTTTGGTTTTCCAATCCCTTCTCTCCTAGCCAAAATGTCACCATCAGATTCATTTTCTTCACCTGTTATTGCAATCACATCATTCCCCTTTACCAGTCCCTTCACTAGCTCCACTTCCTCCCCCACATCTATTCCAAGCTCTTTGTCAACCTTCATGACTGTGGATGTGTTGAGTATTTAAAATGCTACGTAGCTACAGAATACAGTACAGTGGAACCAGTGAATAGTGTCTAATTTGATACCAACAGAAAATAGATTTGATACCAACATTGTCTGATTTGATACCAACATTGCTGAATGTTAAAAAAAATAAGATGATTAGATAACTCTAGCCACAGAAACTGAATAGAAGTAGATAATTTGTAAAAAAGTAAAACTAAGATAATTAACTGTAATTGTGTCATTTCGTTTGTACTTTATTTAATCTAGCTTTTATCTATACCCTACAGAACTGTCTTGTATGAATGTTGCCCTGGCTACATGAAGATGGATGGAATGAGAGGTTGCCCGGCAGGTACAGTCTTAGATGCACATGATCTTTACATCTGGGACCCATTCTAACACAGGAGATTTTCAGAAGTGGTCCGTAATTTTGGGTGCCCAACCTGAGACATCTAAAGCTTATTTCTCAGAGGGGCTGACTGAGCATCCACAACTTCATTTGATGTCCCTGAGTGTGGGCAGCACCACTGGAAATCATCTGCAAAGTGGTTGACGTTGGACACCGAACACAGAGACATTCATAATTAGAGGCCACTTTTGAAAATTAAAGCCCAAACCCTTAAAATACGAACCTGCCCACTATGGATAATCCTGGCAAGTCTTTGCCCTGCTGATATGATGGGTTCCCTGGCAACGGAAATACCGCAGTCCCACTGTGTAAGGGGACAGGATTTGGGGAACTGTACAGGAGGCATGCATGTCTTGTGCAATGTGGAGTTCCCTGATCTGTCACTTATGTAGTTGCTTGCAGTGGACCAAGCAGCATTGGGTAGGGGGAGGGATGGTGCAAAACCAGGTATTGGAGGTGAGATGGCACCAGAGTCATGGGGAGGGATGGGTATTAGGGGTGCATAACAGGTACCAAGGGCTACTCAGTAGAATTGGCTGGTCATACGTTTTCCAGTGGAACATTTTTTCATGGGAAAATGCTGGTGTCAAAATCAAAACTTTTGCAGGAACTTTTCAATTTTGTCCAATTTTCCTATAGAAACCAAGCAGATTTTCAAAGAGAAAACTACTTGGTTTTCTGCCAGCTCACTTGTCTCATGGGCTGCCAGGATTCTGGAAGCCCTGGGAGCCCTAACTCAAGCCAGAGTTGTCAGGACTTCTAGACTTCTCAATAGCCTATCAGATGGGCAGCCGGGGCTCCAGGCAGCTCGGGGATTTCGTTTAGAAAAAATCAAATCAGAATGTCATTTACATTTTTTCTAAACAAAAGTTTCAGACCTTCACTTCTCCACATCTTGGGGTGGAGAATTCCTCCCATCTGGATATTTGTTGAGTTATTTGTTCTGGGCACTATCTGCAATGAGGATTTGGCATATATTGCAAATTCTACTTAATTTGAACCCAAATTATGGAATTTTAAAAGCAATGTTTAGTTAAAAGGATTTTAATAAGATGATTCTCTCCTCCCGTTAAAACAGTGGTAATAGGTAATGATTTTGAGAGACTGACCTGTCAAAGAATTTACAGTACTCTTGTCTTGTGTATTTTAGTTGCTCCTATTGATCATGTTTATGGTACCCTGGGCATTGTGGGAGCAACCTCTACTCAACGTTATTCTGACATATCAAAGCTGAGAGAAGAGATTGAAGGACGGGGATCATTCACATTCTTTGCACCAAGCAATGAAGCTTGGGAACTGTTGGATCGAGTAACTATATATCTCTATATACACACACACACGTATATATATTAATGTTATGAGTACTTATTTTTGTATCTACAATAGCTGTGTTTTAAACCACATTAGAAACAATGAAGATTTTTTTATATATCAGAGATAAATATTGAAACTCAATTACTATATTATTCTAAACTAAACTATGCTTAAGGAACACAGATATTTTACATTTTTTAAAAAAATTCTAGAAACAATGAACAGCTGCAAAGGATATCTGTTTGAGCACCGTCAAAGAGAAATTGTTTTTTGTTGCTCAGCACCCTGAGTATTTTCATGGTTGGATGCTTTATAAATACAATTATCATTATTAGTCTTGTCAGCATAGCTTTGGGAATAGTTTTGAAAACTGAAGTAATTCCAGTAAGGGAGGGTGACAGACACTTTTGTGGGTGACTGTAGGGTACTTTCCCTAGAACTACAATGTTAATCCACTACTGAACCAAAAAAAAAGCTTGAATGCCTTGCTTATGTAATGAGGCCTGCTGTCTTTGATACTGAATCAGTCTAGGGAATCCTCTAGCCAGCTGCATACCAAAAAAGTATGTAACTGAAGTAATTTACGTATTCAAATGAAATACACATTCAAAAATATATTGAAAGCATATTTTGTGGCAAAGAAATCTGTATAACTAACTGATTAAGATTGTCCAGGAAATGTCTAACTGAATCTTCTTCCTCAGGAAATTCATAGTAATTTAATTGACAATGTAAATATTGAACTGTACAATGCCCTCCACAACCATATGGTAAACAAGCGTATGTTGACAAAGGATCTTAAGAATGGCCTGACTCTTGTATCCATGTACAATGATCAGCAACTGCTTATTAATCATTATCCTAATGGGGTAAGTTTATTTCCATAAGCTTCTTTTATACCGTATTTCAGAGTGGTCATTTTCATTAACTCTGTGCATTTTTTTTAATTTATCTAATGAAGAATTGAGAAAGTAATAACGAGATTATCACTTGGCATGTCAGTTATACATCTTACCTTGCAAATGTTAGGAATACAGAATAAATCTGTCCATTAAAGGACTCTTTCATAGACTGAAGGCTAATTGCTAAGAAAGGACTGGGTAACAAGAGCTATTTTTTATTTTAAGAAAGTTGTAAAAACACGGAATGAACTTTCCTCTAAAGAGGTAGCCTTTTGTGGATAGCACAGATTATCCTCCTGCTAAATATCAGCAGTTAGATTTATTACACGCTTTTTTCATATATTACTAAATACATTTTAATAAGATTTTTATTCCAATTGCAGCATGTGACAGAAATATTTAGTCATAGAAGAAACACTTATATTATCTTCCTAGATGGGATTTAATTTTTATAAACCAGGATTCCCAAAGTAAAGTCACTAGTATTTATTTTCTTAAATTCATAGAAACTGCATGTTAGGTTGGCACTTAAATTAGTGTAAACCAAAAGCAAGAACCATTTTAACTATTCAGGGATATGGAACGCTAAACAACTGTCATATGGTTGGAAATCAAGATGACCTGCACAAGTTGCTGTATTGGTAAATCTAAGTGCACAGGTTCTGACTTTTGTTTTTGCCAGTTGGTTTGCTCCTCTTGCCCCTCCCCCTTTGTGAGCAGTGGGCAGGTTGTTGCAGGGAAGAGGCTGAGCGGGGTGGGGCCTTGGGGCAGAACATGGGCCGGGCCTGAGGGGAAAGAGGCCAAGCAGGGTCGGGGCCTGAGGGGGCAGAAGGCTGAGTGGGGGCAGGGCCTTGGGGTGTAGCGGGGGCAGGGCCTTGGGGCAAAGAGGCCGAGTGGGGGCAGGACCTCAGGCAGAGCTTGGGCGGAGCAGTGGGTGGGCACATGGTCTGGACGCTGGGGCCTACAGAAGATCAATCCAGCCCTGCAAGTGCTGAGCACCCCAATTTTTTTCAGTGGGTGCTTGAGCCCCACAACACCCACAGAGTCGGCATCTAAGGCTAGGTAGCTGTCCTCCTTAAAAATAAATTATAAGAGATAGGATGCCAATTCAATGCTGAATATTCTACTGTTCAATTCTTTAAACATAGGTTGTTACTGTTAACTGTGCCAGAATCATCCATGGCAACCAGATTGCTACAAACGGTGTCGTTCATGTCATTGACCGTGTCCTGACCCCTGTTGGAAATACCATTCAAGAGTTCCTTGAAGCTGAGGATGATGTCTCATCTCTTAGAGTGAGTGGGGGGAAATAAAATGCTAACAAGCTTCTTTGGCCTTGTAATTTTCCTTTCTTTTTTTGTTGTCTTAGATGTAAGAAAAGATTATTAACACATTGTTAGGGGAGTGAAATGAACCAAATCAAGGACTAGTCCACCAAATGATACAAGGTAGAAGAGCTGTATATTTTTTCATAAGTGCCTAGTCCTGCTTTTGTGACAGTCTTGTAATTGATGTCACAAGGCCAGATTCTGGCACCCTTATTCGCAGTGAGTAGTCCTTACTCCTTGAGTCCTGGGGCTGTTCAGAGAGTAAGGTATCACTCAGTGTGAGTACAGATCACAGAATCTGGTCCTGTGTGATCAGAATTAGATCCAAAATGGGGAAAATAATTAAAAGTAATGGAAGTAATGGAGATATCATCATGAAAGCTTAAGTGATCCAGTTGGTTTCAGAAAGTGGGTTAGAGTGTGGTGAGAAGGATATTTACTCGCTGGCTTGGGCTGGGGCACCAGGATATTATGGAATCTTTCCAAGCTCTTCCCGAATTGAAAGACTCTCTCATTTGACTTCCTTTCCTCTGATTTCTCTCATCTTTTCTTCCTTCTGTGGAAAAAAGAGAAAAGTTACAAGCAGCGAAGAACAGAGGGCCCAGCAGGCTCCCTCTTTGTAGGATGAGGAGGTGAGAAAAACTATGGAAGGTGTGGGAAGTCAACACTCATATAGGGCTGCTTTTCTTATTTCCTGGTCGGTGGAGTCATATACAATGTCAAAATATAATTGTGCTGTTATGCTCAAGGGGAGACATTCATGACAAGATGTAACTATAATTCTTATATAAGCCCAGACATCTTAATATTAAAGATAAATTGGCTTAGAGATGTTCCCATCTGTTCAGCAACGTATTTCAAGTACACTTACACTGTTCTGTAAATAACTATATTAATCTAGATAATTTATTTCAATGTTTTACGTTGTGACACTGGAAGTAGTGGATGCTGCATGAATGGGCTTATTTAGCCTGCAGAAGAGAAGAGTGAGGGGGGATTTGATAGCAGCCTTCAAGTACCTGAAGGGGGTCCCAAAGAGGATGGAGCTAGGCTGTACTTAGTGGTGGCAGATGACAGACCAAGGAGCAATGGTCTCAAGTTGCAGTGTGGGAGGTCTAGAATGGATATTAGAAAAACTTTTTCACTAGGAGGGTGGTGAAGCACTGGAATGGGTTACCTAGGGAGGTGGTGGAATCTCCATCCTTAGAGGTTTTTAAGGCCCGACTTGACAAAGCCCTGGCTGGGATGATTTAGTTGGGGTTGGTCCTGCTTTGAGTAGGGGGTTGGACTAGATGATCCTTTGAGGTCTCTTCCAACCCTAATCTTCTATGATTCTATGAAATCAAAACATAATAACCCCATTGGTCTGATGAGTTCCAACTTAGAGCAGGTTTTCAACAGGGCAAATCAAATATCAAAAATGTTAGTGGCTCAATTCAGCTATGCCTCCAAAAGTTCTGGAGTAAATCCCAAACCCACTGAAGTCTAACGGCACACCCCCTATCATAGAATCATAGAATATCAGGGTTGGAAGGGACCTCAGGAGGTCATCTAGTCCAACCCCCTGCTCAAAGCAGGACCAATCCCCAATTAAATCATCCCAGCCAGGGCTTTGTCAAGCCTGACCTTAAAAACTTCTAAGGAAGGAGATTCCACCACCTCCCTAGGTAATGCATTCCAGTGCTTCATCACCCTCCTAGTGAAAAAGTTTTTCCTAATATCCAATCTAAACCTCCCCCACTGCAACTTGAGACCATTACTCCTTGACCTGTCCTCTTCTACCACTGAGAATAGTCTAGAACCATCCTCTCTGGAACCACCTCTCAAGTAGCTGAAAGCAGCTATCAAATCCCCCCTCATTCTTCTCTTCTGCAGACTAAACAATCCCAGTTCCCTCAGCCTCTCCTCATAAGTCATGTGTTCCAGACCCCTAATCATTTTTGTTGCCCTTCGCTGGACTCTCTCCAATTTATCCCCATCCTTCTCGTAGTGTGGGGCCCAAAACTGGACACAGTACTCCAGATGAGGCCTCACCAATGTCGAATAGAGGGGGACGATCACGTCCCTCGATCTGCTCACTGTGCCCCTACTTATACATCCCAAAATGCCATTGGCCTTCTTGGCAACAAGGGCACACTGCTGACTCATATCCAGCTTCTCGTCCACTGTCACCCCTAGGTCCTTTTCCGCAGAACTGCTGCCTAGCCATTCAGTCCCTAGTCTGTAGCGGTGCATTGGGTTCTTCCGTCCTAAGTGCAGGACCCTGCACTTATCCTTATTGAACCTCATCAGATTAACCTCAATGCAGATTAACCTCAATGCATCAACCTCAATGCAGCAAGGATTTCACCCTGATGTTTATCTGCACTTGTCTGGATGTAGCCAAACCTTTGTATCTGAACAAATGGTGTGAAAATCTTAAGAGTTCATGCTTTCTTGAACGACTCCTAATCCTCCTGGTATTGACTAGACTAAAGCTACCTATAAAACAGCCTCTCAATATATATATATTTTTTTTCATTATACTTGTTTATCTGAGCATGGACAAGCATAGGGGCATGGGGAGAACTTAAAGCAAGCAAATTAAGAAAATGTTTTTCTTTAATCAGAAAAGGGTTGCTTGATTACACTTTTGGGACAGGGATTGAGTTAGTTCATATTTCATTCAGATTTATTCTTACATACCTAGTTTCCAGGAAGTAAAGGTGAACTCTTGTCAGCAAGTTAAGGAAGTATGGGCTGGATGAATGCACTATAAGGTGGGTAGAAAGCTGGCTAGATTGTCGGGCTCAACGGGTAGTGATCAATGGCTCCATGTCTAGTTGGCAGCCGGTGTCAAGTGGAGTGCCCCAGGGGTCGGTCCTGGGGCCGGTTTTGTTCAATATCTTCATAAATGATCTGGAGGATGGTGTAGATTGCACTCTCAGCAAATTTGCGGATGATACTAAACTGGGAGGAGTGGTAGATATGCTGGAGGGGAGGGATAGGATACAGAAGGACCTAGACAAATTGGAGGATTGGGCCAAAAGAAATCTGATGAGGTTCAATAAGGATAAGTGCAGGGTCCTGCACTTAGGACGGAAGAACCCAATGCACCGCTACAGACTAGGGACCGAATGGCTAGGCAGCAGTTCTGCGGAAAAGGACCTAGGAGTGACAGTGGATGAGAAGCTGGATATGAGTCAGCAGTGTGCCCTTGTTGCCAAGAAGGCCAATGGCATTTTGGGATGTATAAGTAGGGGCATAGCGAGCAGATCGAGGGACGTGATCGTTCCCCTCTATTCGACATTGGTGAGGCCTCATCTGGAGTACTGTGTCCAGTTTTGGGCCCCACACTTCAAGAAGGATGTGGATAAATTGGAGAGAGTCCAGCGAAGGGCAACAAAAATGATTAGGGGTCTAGAACACATGACTTATGAGGAGAGGCTGAGGGACCTGGGATTGTTTAGTCTGCAGAAGAGAAGAATGAGGGGGGATTTGATAGCTGCTTTCAACTACCTGAAAGGGGGTTCCAAAGAGGATGGCTCTAGACTGTTCTCAATGGTAGCAGATGACAGAACGAGGAGTAATGGTCTCAAGTTGCAGTGGGGGAGGTTTAGATTGGATATTAGGAAAAACTTTTTCACTAAGAGGGTGGTGAAACACTGGAATGCGTTACCTAGGGAGGTGGTAGAATCTCCTTCCTTAGAGGTTTTTAAGGTCAGGCTTGACAAAGCCCTGGCTGGGATGATTTAACTGGGAATTGGTCCTGCTTCCAGTAGGGGATTGGACTAGATGACCTTCTGGGGTCCCTTCCAACCCTGATATTCTATGATTCTATGATTCTATGATTCTAACCCCTATTGAGGTTAGTTATTTCAATCCTACTTCATATCTATTGGGATAACTTTTATCACTAATGTTCATTAGCCAATCTGAACAAAGTTGAAGGAATTAAACCATGTAAACATTATGGCTAAATGCATTCCTATGGCTTAGGAAGGGTTAGGAAACAATGTACTGTACAACAACACATAATTCACTAGCTGTATTATGAAAGATTTTTCACCTTCTTCAGAAGTATCAGGTCTTGGCTACTATTCCAAAGGCAAAAGAATGGATTAGATAGACTGTTGGTTTTATCTGGCAAAACCTATGTGCATATGGTCTTCAATGCAATGAGCTTTTTCAGGATTCTTTGTATTCATTTAACCTAAAGGTTTGTGTATAGAATTTCACTTACTCAGCTTTATTTAAATTTGCTACTGAGTGTTTTCGTGTGGTGGATGAATCTAATGAACTACATTCTAATACAGTTTGGACTGGAGTAAATCCAATCTATCTCAACTGAAATCAACAGAGTTATGCTACATTTGAATCATTATAAATTGTATCAGAATTGGGCTCTTTCTTAATATCTGCTAAATTGTCAAAGAAACTCAGAAGACTGAGCCAAGATGTTTCCCTAGAGCATTTAGTTTTCTACATTTTGATTCTGTAATTTTACTTATGTAAACAGGCTTTTCTCTGAAGAATATTATAATTCATTTCAACATACCATTAAAATATCTGGATACAAATCCTAAAGTGCTAAATCATAATATAGTATCAGTTGCACAGAAACTATGTGCCAAATTCTGCCTACAGATTCACATGCAACAACTTCCACTGATCTCAATAAGAGATGAATGTGAGCATTCAAGTGCAGGATTTGACCCTCTGAGGTTTCAAAATTAAGGGTTTTGTTTTTCTGTACCCATAAGTTTAATGTATTTGAACAATGCTCTCAGTAAGTAATATATTTCTTTTCTAGGCTGCTGCCATTACATCTGGTGTATTGGACACTCTTGGAAAGCCCGGCCATTACACACTCTTTGCTCCTACTAATGAAGCTTTTGAGAAACTTCCAAGGGGAGTCTTGGAAAGGATCATGGGTGACAAGGTGGCCTCTGAAGGTATATCAGTGATTCTGTATATGGGAAAATGTGAAAATATATTTCAAACATAATCAAATCAGGAATTAGCAACAAAGGGATTATAAAGCCATACAAATATCTCAAAAGAGTGAGCAGAGTGAGTGCTTGTATTTATTTAATGGAAATGGATCTCAGCTTTATATTCCGGGGCATCTGGATCTGGGCTTTTGCCTCAAACGTCATCTCAGCTATAGCTGTTTCATAGTAAGAGTATATGTATTCTATGGGCCAAATTCTACTGTGTAAACTTTTCAAGGGATTGTCTTATTTTTTTACAGTGCACAATGGGGCTGCAATCCTAATTCAGCCTTCTGGGTGCTACTGTAACACAAAGAAATAAAAAGCACAGACAATTTGGTCTGTGAAATGCTATGCACATCTATGTGCTGTGTTAAAAATAATAATAATTACCAATAAAATAACCTTCAGTTCATCTGAGAAGGGTACTCAAATCAATTTGATTTTAATTCCACAAAAATGTACAGTTGTTCCCAATCCCAAAGGGATCCAACATGTTGTTTATGGGTAAAATTTTCCAATGCACCTAATTAACTCTAGAAGCCTACTTCCCATGGATTTTCATGGAGACCTAGATGAGTCACAGAGGTGCTTTTAAAATGTTTGCCCTACATGCTTTAAACTGGATATTCCTATTCTCATGCAGGCAGAATTCCCATTGAAGTTTATAGAAGCTATGCCTGCAGGCTCTTTACTGACAGGCATCAATTGGAAAAGAGAGCAGAATGTGCTGGGCTAGATCTACAGGTGGTGTAAAGTGGTGTAGCTAAATTGACTTACGCCAGTGGAGGATCTGACCCATCATATATTAATGAAGAAGAATCATTTAATGGTGGCTGTACAGTGCATTTTAAATAATGGAGCAGATGCCAATTTTCTTGTCCTACCTATGTCTGTGGTGTGTAAATGAAGGTCAAGAGGAAGATTGTGCAACTATGGTTTCGAGACAATCTAATTTTAATCCTTGAAAAAGATGTTACCAGTCACTGAACCCCAGTCCTTAAGCAGATTGTATAGCTATTACTATCCCTTTCCAGCACATTTATCTGCAGTGGTCTGATACCTGGGGATAAGAATCCTTTAACAACCAAGCTGTCAAATGAAAGGCTATGCATCTAATGCAATCAGCATTGATTAAATGCATGCATAGCTCATAAAATTTACTTTCCACAGAATGAAAAAGGAAGTCCCATTAGAATCATTATAGTTGTAAGTTACAGCTAACATCTGTCCTTCTCATTAAGAAAGGGCAATTGCTACATACTGTACTGTAGGAGTCAGAGTTTCTGTCGTGCTTTAAATTACCAAAAAAAAAAAAAAAAAGCCAAGGGATTCAGAATAAGCATTATAAGCAGGATGTCTGAAAGCAATCTATGGAAACTATGTCTTAAAGACTGAGACTGCAGTTTCTGCATGCACTGCGCTGCATATTTAAGGCATTTTAAAGGTGAACTGCACAAGGCACTTTTCTGCCTTTTTAGTAAGTGCTTCTTTGCAAAGAGTAAAGATGGCTTCAAAGTTTTCTTCCCAAACTAAAAAAAAAAAAAAAAAGTGTTTTTGGGGGGAGTTTATAAATAGCAAGTTTTGATTTCTTCTTTTCCTCTGGAGAATTCCTTGGAGTATTGGAATCTGTGGGATGTTTCCTAAAAATGTATTGAAGCTTGTGCGGGGGGGTAATCTTTCAAAAACACAGGTTTTCTTCCAACTGTTTATCAGGAATTACATATTACAGCAGTAAGCTAGTTTAGTTATCCAATTCTCCAAGAAGTCCTCCAGCAAAAAGAAATAAATCGGGGCCTGATGAGGATGAGGGAGGCAGTCTGGGGACTGTAACAGTCACCTGATTCTCAGAACATAAGAACATGAGAATAGCCATACAGGGTCAGACCAAAGGTCCATCTAGCCCAGTATCCTGTCTTCTGACAGTGGCCAATTCCACGTGCTTCAGAGGGAATGAACAGAACAGGTAATCATCAAGTGATCTATCCTCTGTTACTCATTCCCAGCTGCTGGCAAACAGAGGCTAGGGACACCATCCCTGCCAATCCTAGCTAATAGCCATTGATGGACCTATCCTCCATGAATTCATCTAGTTCCTTTTTGAACCCTGTTATAGTCTTGGCCTTCAAAACATCCTCTAGCAAAGAGTTCCACAGGTTGACTGTGTGCTGTATGAAGAAATATTTCCTTTTGTTTGTTTTAAATCTGCTGCCTATTAATTTCATTTGGTGACCCCTAGTTCTTGTGTTATGAGGAGTGAATAACACTTTCTTATTTACTTACTCCATACCAATCATGATTTTATAGACCTCTATCATATACCACCTTAGTCGTCTCTTTTCCAAGCTGAAAAGTCCCAGCTTTATTAATCTCTCCTCCTGTGGAAGCTGTTCCATACTCCTAATCATTTTTGTTGCCCTTTTCTGAAACTTTTCCAATTCCAATATATCTTTTTTGAGATGGGGTGACCATGTCTGCATGCAGTTTTCAAGATGTGGGCATACCCACATTTTTTTAGATTTTTATAGAGGCAATATGATATTTTCTGTCTTAGTATCTATCCCTTTCTTAATGATTCCCAACATTCTGTTCACTTTTTTGGCTGCTACTGCACACTGAGTGGATCAGGGCAGATTTGTTCTTGTCCTCGACCCACATAATTTAGAGTAGCCTAAGGATTGCTCTATCTTATGCTAGCTAGCTATGGTCCTGAAGGGAACATATGCCAGTTACGAATTGGCAGAGCTCCAGCTGACTCTTGTTATGACCCCACCAGAATGTGTGCAGTCTGCTGGGGGTAAGGAATTGGGTTGGGAATACTCTGTGTCATGTTACACAATCTGCAAACTCCCCTACTCTTGGAGAATTCTCATTAGGGCCAGATCAGGAAACTTGCCATCATCTGAGTGGCATAAAGTGGCAAACGCTGGAGGGGGGAATCTGGGCTGATACTTGTAATGTAAAAAAAAAAATAACCAAGAAAAGAGAATTTTTTGAAATCTCATAGAACTTCTTTATACATCATAAAAAAGTAAAATGTGATTTTTTTAAAAAATTTGTTTTGCTTTTAAGTTCACCTATAAGAATTTCATCTTGTCTTCTGGGCACCACACCCAGAAGACTGGACTCTGAATCTCACTTCTCTGATACAGTCAAATGCAACAGAACCCCCTCTTGTATATTTGACAACAAAAGAGGAAGAGACAGCTTTGCTGGGGCTACACACCTGTAAGCTGAATTCTGTCCTTCATCATACAATAAAGGCAGCAGGGTTGCCCATGGACAGAATATGGCCCACAGTGTTTTCAGTATCTGCAAAAAGTAAAGAATTCAAACCAGCAGACAGTCCTGTAACACCTTCTTTAAATTCCTCCACAAAGTTCAGACCACCCAGGTTGTCCTCAGCACCACATGTCTAACAGACGCTCCCCACGGCCAGCAAGTAACCACATTTCACACTCCCTTCATTTTACAGGGAAGAGCAAACATCTGTGTCTACTACCAGCCTCTCCACAGACTAGCTGCAGATGTTTAGTGACTGGCAACTAATGACACTGGTGTATCTGAAGGGGTAAGGGCACTAGCTAGAAAATCCTCTCACTGGATCACTAGCAGGAGGATATTTCTCGGAGGTGCCTTTTTTCCCCATCTTTTTTTTAAAAAACCCTATGGGAGCTACTAGAAACAAATAATGAACAATAGTAATTAAAAGCTGAGGCTTGGTTCTGAACACTCAATACCGAAAGGTGTATGTTGAGATCCACTGGCAACCAAATATTACCCATGGCCATTAAACTATATGCTCTGGCTTACACAGAGCTAATTAACAGACTAGGATGTATTTAATGATATTATGGGAATCACTAAAAACATTTCTTAAACATAATGTACTATAGCAGTCTGCACTTATGAGTTGTTGTACAAATAACCCTATTTTCAGAGACCAGAAAAAAGAGTTATCTGTACAGTCATTAAAATAATATTATATTTTGTATTTGTCAAACTTGGTATGAGAAATTATGGAAAATAAAGATAGTTATTCAAAATTATTTTGTAACAACACTAATTGAGTCAATGCATTAAATTGTCTTAAGCAATCCTCTTCCAATCAAGTACCTCTACATGGACCTGTCTCTTCTGTTTTCCACAGCTCTCATGAAGTTCCATATTTTAAATACTCTTCAGTGCTCTGAAGCCATCATGGGTGGAGCAGTCTATGAGACCTTGGAAGGGAGTACAGTTGAAGTAGGCTGTGATGGTGAAAGTCTGACTGTAAATGGAGTCAAGATGGTAAACCGCAAAGACATTGTGACAAGCAACGGTGTTATCCACCTCATTGACCATGTGCTGATTCCTAACTCTGGTGAGTGACTGACATAGTTTCATGTATGTATCACAGAGATAAGGAATGTTGACTATAAGACATTCTCCACCTGTGAAATCTATACAAGCCTGTTTATTGAGAGGATCTGTGTGCACACCTGCTCTGTCCTTATCCAGACTCTCTAAACCCTCTTCTATTGAGTTCTAATTTGTAGGGAGGGAGGTGGCTGAAGCAAGAAAACTAATTAACAGGCTACAATTAATTATCTTTTCCTTTATCAATTGCAGCCAAGCAAGTTATTGAACTTGCAGGTGACCAGCAGACCACCTTCACAGACCTTTTAGCACAGCTGGGATTGGCTTCTTCTCTAAGGCCAGAGGGACAATACACTCTGCTGGCTCCTCTGAATGGTGCTTTCTCAGGTAGGTGGCCTTGGAGGGGAATATTCCCTACCTCTGAGGCAGTGTCAAAAGCATTTTCTGCCATCATGGTTTTCTAAAACCAATTTTTTCCCCAGTCTATGTTCTGAGACTGCAAAGAATTGGCGCAACTAGGAATAAGAGATGCTTTGTCCTTTTCAGTATGCATAGTGGGTAAAATTTACCACTGTGCAGAGCGTCCGCAAAAGACCTATATGCTACTTGAGTCTTACTTAAGCCTACACAATTTATTTTATTCAGTATATAGAGAACCTCTTTATTTGATGGGAAAAGTAAAGTTAAAATAAGATGCAAAATATACCCTAATGCTTAGCAGAAGAGCTGGATGAATAATGCAATAATATATTTACAGTAAATCCCCTTAAATTCACTTGAGTTGTCATCAGAACCCCCTTTATTTACTGTCAAAGTACCTTCACACAAGCACGTTTTTATTTACCAGGATGATGGAGCAAAGAGACAGTGTCACATATGTATGTGCCAATAAACATTTGAATTAGTATTTGCACTAGGAGTGGCCACATGGCCCTTCTGAAAGCTCTTTGTGGATTTGGTAGTCATCCAATCAGAGATAAGAAGCATCTCCATGTGACCTAGATGTCACAACACAGAATGGATTTCAAATGGTGAATACTCAAAGCAATAGTTACCAGAAATATTTTACAAGTAATCTAGAGGTTAAAACATGCCTATACATAAATCATCTACCAAATGTCTACTAAAGAATTAGAAGCCTGTTTACAGATAATTGTAATAATAAAAATGAGTTAATCAATTTAATTTCTGGTTTCAGAGTAGCAGTCATGTTAGTCTGTATCTGCAAAAAGAAAAGGAGTACTAGTGGCACCTTAGAGACTAACAAATTTATTAGAGCATAAGCTTTCATGAGCTACAGCTTACTTCATCGGATGCATACTGTTTTTTCCATGAAAGCTTATGCTCTAATAAATTTAATTTCTGTGAATAGTTTTCCCAGTTTTATTAAGTCTAAAATGATTGATCTAAAATGTAAACAATGCAAAAAGAACAAGTATTTTCATGATTCTAAAACATAGTGTGTGCAGTGAACCTTACCTGAATGAAGGAATCATTTATACATTATTATCTAAATGATTTGGTAGATGACACTTTGAGGATGGACCAACGGCTTCTTAAACTGATCATGCAAAACCACATTTTGAAAGTGAAAATTAGCCTCAATGAGCTCTACAATGGACAGAACGTGGAGACCTTGGGAGGAAAACAACTCAGAGTCTTTGTATACCGCACAGTAAGTGAATGAACATTTCCAAATCCTGGGGCAGTGACAAATAAAATCTATCCAAAACCTGAAGCCGGGGAAGGATGGAGCTCACTGTAGAAGACAATACTATTGGTGTTATAAAAGAGCTCACCATTGAAAGTCAAAATTACCAACATTTACCACACCACTGTATACGAGAGAGATCTTTGATTTTGACGTATAATGCAATTAAATTAAATTAAACTTTGGCTGAAATAGATGAATGAGTGGAAAACTAGAAGACAGCTTCAGGATTTGGCTTGAGATTAATAATAAAAATGTCTAGTTTCAAAACAGCTAACAATTTTTTCAGGTGACACAAGTAATCAATTTTCAATCTAATTACGTATTTATTTCCCACATCATTTGCTTCCTTTTGCACATTTTATTTTAAAAAGGAGGAACAAATAACTTGCCAATGAGAAGTTGGAGAAATTCTATTTTTAAATTATAGAGGCTACAGAGGAGTTCATGTTTCAGGCTGATTACAAAAAAATATGCTTCACTAATGTTGCCGTGGCTGTGGCATGGATGCTGTGACTATAATCTTAGGTGGTTTGTCTTGTTTTTTCTTTTCAACCAGGCTGTATGTATTGAAAATTCATGCATGGTAAGAGGAAGCAAAGAGGGAAGGAATGGTGTCATTCACATTTTCAGACAGATCATCAAACCAGCCGAAAAGTCACTGCGTGAAGTGTTGAAGAATGATAAGCGCTTTAGGTAAGCAAAAGGTTTTCACAGCATAGAAATCTCTCTATAGACGGTGGGTCTGTCTACACAAGACATGCTACAGTGGTACAACACATATTACAGTGATGGGTTCTTCGGTCACTGTAGTCGATCCACTTCTATGAGAGGTGGTAGTTAGGTCAATGAAAGAATTCTTCTGTTGACCTCGTGGTTTCTATATCAGGCTTAGGTCAGCTTAATTACATCTTTCAGCACATGACATTTTGCCCTGAGCAATGTAGTTAAAATGGCCTATCTTTGTAGTCTAGACCAGCCCTTGATCAATATGGAGTAGAGCTGCTCTGAAAAATTTAATTTTGACAAAAAATGGGGCGGGGGGGAATGGATTTCTTTCCCCATTTTCCATGCAGGTATATTTTGTAATACCAGAGTGACACAGTGAAGCTATAGGCTCCCATTCTGGTCAGCATTCTAGCTCTTTCATGCCATTCCAGAGACAATAAGGTCGAGAACCTAGACCTCTTTCCCTGATGGTAAGTCCCCCAGCACTAGGGCAGTGTATGGCTGGTGTAATAGCTTTACATGGCCACACCCACTCAGCTGCTGGCAAGGTGTTCAGAAGGGCTGGGACAGTAGGGGAGCAGAGAGGATGTATCTAGAACAGTGGTTCTTAACCTTTACTGCAGCCTGCACCCCTTTGGTTCTCAAAATATGTTCTCGCACCCCTTATCAAAATCATTGAAGTAGGTCAGTTCTTTAAACCTACATATATTTTTGTTTGTATATTACAAATGGTAATGGTTAAAAAATGTATAATGTTAATAAATACATAGGTTTGATGAAACAAAGTAGTTGTACTTACGTGGCTGTGCTTAATTTGTTTCAGAGCAGCAGCCATGTTAGTCTGTATCCACAAGTACTTCTGTTCTTTTTGCTTAATTCGTGTTTTCGATGATTTACCTTCAAAAAAATCTGGCATGTGTTGCACCACCAGAAAGGGCATCTCGCACCCCCATGGGATGCATGCACCCCAGGTTAAGAACCTGTGGTCTAGAGTGTTTTCACTAGGACTACTTCTCATGAGTAAGTGTGGTGATAGCCTGGGGCCTTAATTTTGCTCAAACCCTAATCTCTGTACACAACTTGCTTGTACACAGGGTAGCCTGAGTACATGCTCTAGTATCCCATTTAATGAAGTACTACTCCCTTGAACTCACTTATCTTACTATTATCTTCTCTTCCCTTTTATCTCCTCCCCCAGGAGCATACAGTCTTGGCTTGCCTTTCTCTCCTCTACTTCCCCAATGGATTCTGTGCAATCTCATTTCTGACTGCTCCACTCCATGAACATTGCTTGTATCAAAGTCACCAACATCCTCCTCTCCTTCTACTCCCTTCCCCTTCAGTCTAGCCATTACTTTTGACACATTCAGTGACTTACCATCTCCTCCATTCTCTCTCAACCTTGAAATCATTGGGAATAATTGCAGAGTAAGATACTACATTGATGCTTAGGAGTGACAGGAACTGTCTTAATTAAGCAGACTTTTGTGTGCTGATGTTGCCTTCAAAATTCCTTGTATAAACAAATCTTTGGGAACTGGACCATAATTTAATGTGTGCTATTTTTATTTCTGATTAGCATATTCCTCAATTTGGTGAAAGATGCCGATTTAGATGGTATTCTGTCACAACCTGGAGAATGGACTTTGTTTGTCCCAACCAATGAGGCCTTTAAAGGCTTGACTGATGAAGAAAAGGAAATACTGAGAAGTAAGTCGCACAAGAATATTAGAAATGTAATTAACTAGGGGTGAAATCCCACTAAAGTCTATGGCAAAGATCAGTGGGGCAGAATTTCACCCTAAATGTTTAATGTGCCTGAAACCTGCGTGCTTCATACTCCTAGGAGCTGGAGCCAGTTCGCACCCGTTTGCTAGAACCGGTTGTTAAATTTTAGAAGCCCTTTTAGAACCGGTTGTTCTGCGAGGGACAACCGGTTCTAAAAGGGCTTCTAAATGTAACTGGCCAAGAGTAGCGCCTTAGTGCCAACTCCACGGGTGCTCCACTCCTGGAGCACCCAAGGGGAAAATTTGGTGGGTGCAGAGCACCCACCGGCACCTCCCTGCCCCACCCCCGGCTCCAGCTCACCTCCGTTCCGCCTCCTCCCCTGAATGCACCACCCCGCTCTGCTTCTCCACCCCCCACCCAGGCTTCCCGCGAATCAGCTGTTCGCGCAGGAAGCCAGGGCGGGCTGAGAAGCAGGCGGTGGCTTCGCACTCAGGCCCAGGGAGGCGGAGGTGAGCTGGGGCAGGGGGGGCGCGAGGAGGGCCACCCACGCCGCAGCAGGTAATCTGGGGGGTGCACAGGGGAACCGATCCCCGCCCCAGCTCAACTCCGCCACCCTTGGCCTGAGTGCGAAGCCGCCGCC